TGTGTATGCCTGTGCGTGTGCGTGTTTGTGCCTGTGCGTGTGTGTGTTTGTGCACACGTCTCTACGTGTCCATCTGCGCCTGTCCACCTCACCCGAGTGGCCTGCTCCCCTGTGTCTCTGGTGGGCCTTTCACCATACCGGCTATAACCACCCGTCACTCATGACAGCCACCTTGTCAATCTTGTCTGACTTCTCCAAAGGAGGGACTGGACACCCCGTGTGTGCACGCATGTGCACGCCGGTGCACGTGTGCATTTTACAACGTCTGGGCACCGCAGCGCCTGGGAACGAAGCCGGAGCCCAGGACCAGCGTCCGCAGGCTGTCCACCCCCTCCCACCGGCGCTCTGCGACCCCGGCCCAGCCCCACCAGGGAGGCGTCCCGAGTGCAGGGCACGCGCCTTTCCCGGACGGGCGCCCCAGCTCTGCGCTCAGCCCACAGCACCGACGCGGGAGCCACGCGGTGTGGACGTGCCTTCTCTGCTCGGGCCACGGTGCAGGCCCGGGTGCTGACGCCGCGTGCCCGGAGCCGCAGGAGCTGACCCGGTGCCCTGTGGGGAACGGGCCTCACCCCCGGGCGCCCACCGCCCCGAGCCGCCGCCGTACCTGACCGCAGGATGCTGGGCTCCGTGACCTTCTTGCCGTTGACGTAGGTGTCTGCCCCCTCACAGGGCTCCAGGGTCACCACAGCTACAGGGGCAGAGAGGGGCACGGTGAGGGGCTGCCACCTGCAGGGGCTCGGATCCCGTGGCCCTGGCGTGGCCCACCCACGCCCTCTCCTGCTGGCCACAGAGCCTGAGCGCTGGCAACACCTCGTTTGGGCCTCAGAGGAACTCGAGGGGTGTCTCCCCGACTCGAGAGAGGGGAAGAGTGACCCCCAGGAGGACGAGCCCTGTGCCCACGTCAGAGCCAGGAGGCCATGCTGAGCCTGGCTGCCCAGGGCCCCACCGGGTCTCCAAGGGGACAGAGATGAGAAACTTGTCCCTGGGGGGTCCCCGTCCCCCCCTACATGGGAGAGGGCAGGCAGGGGCTCTGGGGACAGAGGAGAATTCTGGGGGAGCCAACCATCCCCTGCACTGCTTAGGGCCACCCACCTGAGGTGGCAGAGTTGGACAGCAGGCATGGGTCATGGGTCATGGGTCATGGGTCATGGCTGGACGCCCCCTGAGAGATGCCCTGGGCTGGGGTCCAGGGCACTGGGACAGCACATGGTCACAGCCGGCTGGCACCCAGGTGGGTGGACCAGGCCACGGGGACGGCCCCATGTCACCTTCAGAAGGGAGGCTGGTGGGCAGCGGGGTGGGCAGGTGGCCGCCCCCAGCCAGCCGTAAGTGTGGTTAGAAAAGAGTTTCCAGCCTGGCCCTGGGCCCCCGGACCTCGGCCCCCGCCCCCCCACCGGGTAGGGGCAGCAGCCCCGCGCAGGGGCGCAGGGGCGCAGGGGCGATACCTTCACTGCCGCCGCGGGAGTCGCTCCGGAAGACGCAGTGCTCCTCCTTGATGAAGTGCCCGCTCAGCACGATGTCCTGCCGCCTCTCCCCGTCCTCCCTGCCCACTCTGTGGGGCGGGCGGCGTCAGCGGGCGGCCAGGACCCCGCACGGCCCCAGCACCACCGCGAGCCGCCCGCGACGCCCGGCCGGGACCTCGGGGAGCCCCGGGGAGGCGTGGACGGGGACGCGGGGTGGGTGAGGGGCCCCCCACCCAGCAGGGGCCCACACCCGGCGGCCCCTGGGCACAGGGAGCCCCCCACCTGGTGACCCCGTCCTTGATGTAGTACAGGAGGCACTCAGACATCAGCGGGTCCTCGTTCAGGTTGACGAGATGCGGCGTCTGGCGGGAGACAGGGGTGTCACCTCTCGGGGTGGGGCAGAAGCCCAGGGCCGGTCCCCGCCTGACCTCTGCCAGGCACCAGGCCACCGCCAGTCCTAGGCCTGGCATTTTGGGGGACACGGTGTCCTCCCAGCCTGGCAGAGAGCGCAGGAGACGTGGAGGGAAGGGTCCCCAAGTCCCCCAGGCCTCGGCTCAGCTGGTCACTTGAACCCAGGAAAATAAGCCAGGGCCCAGCCCACCTGACACCTGGGATCCCACATATACCTGGACCTTGTACACACACCTGGGCCTCATAAACACCTGGGCCTCGTACACACACCTGGGCCTCACATACACACCTGAGCCTAATACACACACCTGGGCCTCATACACACACCTGGGCCTCATATACACACCTGGGCCTCGCACACACACCTGGGCCTCATACACATACTTGGGTCTCGTACACACACCTGGGCCTTGTACACACACCTGGGCCTTGTACACACACCTGGGCCTTGTATACACACCTGGGCCTCGTATACACACCCAGTGCCCACACTCACCCCAATGTGGGGACGTGGAGACCCGGTCATCAGACATAGGGGCCACACCCTCTGAAACTGTCCCCTCCCGCAAGTGGGGAGGGTGTCTAGCCGCTGCAGGGCTGAGGGGCTGCAGCCTCAGGGCCCAGCCAGACCAGGTGCTTCTCCTGAGTCCCCAAACACAGAGCCTCTCAGGAAGGGGTCCCTGGTGCTCCCACTCCTGAGCACCACCCAGACCCAGGGCCACCAGCGAAGCCAATGGACTCCAGTGTGCCTGGTCTCGCAGGGGAGCCCTACGCACCCTAGGGGTACACCCACCCCTGCAGGAAGGGCAGGGTCTGGAACAGTTCGGGGGACAGTCCATTCCAGACAAACGCAAAGGGCCGGGCTGGCTCCTGCCCTGCCCGGCACCAGAACCTGCCCTCGTCCTCTCAGCCCCTTCCTACCTCCGGGCCTGGGCAGGTGCTGGTCCCCCAGCCTGGACCACAGCCCTGCCCAGCCCCTCCCAAGCTCCGGCCACACAGATGACTGTCCCCGTGTCCAAGCCGCCCCCCAGCCATGACCACCCCAGGACCAGGTGCGTGCTCACACCGTGAGCCTCTGAGAGCCCCAGTGGGCAGAGGCGTGCAGTGGGCGGGGATGTGTGTAGAATGTGTGCAGAATGGTCCCAGCACTATGACGCACCTCACCTCTGGGAAAGTTCTAGCAACCCCTTTCGTGCAAGTTTGCCGTAAGCTGGCCCGTGGCTTCAGGGGCTTGGCCAGGGCCCACGAGGACGCCCTGCACCTGGGCCCTTCCCAGGCCACCCTCCATGCTCCCCTGCACTACTGTCCAATAAGCAACGTCCCCAGGGCACGCCCAGGTAGGCCACCTGGCCGGCGTCCAGCCCTGCCAGCCAGAGTCCGGCTCCTAAGGGGCCGGGCGGTTCTAGTCGCCCTTGGGGTGGGTGGGTGGGGTCTGGGCAGGTGTCTCCCCAAATGCCTGTGCTGCTGAATGGAGTGGGGGTGGGGGAGGGAAACACTTTGGAGAAGCTGCCTGGGGCTGTGCTCCACTTGAGGGTCCCCAGCTGGAAGACCCCTGAGGCCCAGCCCAGGCGGGGGGGTAGTGAGCCAGCCGGGCCTCACGGGAGAAGAGGGGTCCCTGCTGGAACCAGCCGGACCTGACGCTGGCTGGGCTCTGAGAGCACAGCTGGCTCCCAGCTCCGAGTCCCCGGCCAGGCACGGCACGGGCTGGAGGGCGGGGCCAGACCCCTGCATCTGTCTCCAGCCTGGGCGGCTGCCCGGTACACCCCGACCTTGGGGCCAGGCAGCGAAGAAACCCATCGGAGTCCCAGTGAGGCGCCCGCACGAGGGAAGGTCTGGCTGTGGGCGAGCGTGGCCGCCCCAGTGTCCGAGCCAGGCCCTGCCACGCGCCCCTCCTCCCGGGAGCCCACTCGGGACACACCAAGGACAGCGCAACCCCGCCAGGCCAGGGTAGCCCCACAGAACTGGGACCAACTCCTACCTTTTTGGGAGAGAACACACCCAAGGTGCCACCGTCTTCCCTCATGGCCACGCCCATCTCGGCCAGCAGGGCCTCCCTGGGGGGACAGAGCTGGGGTCAGCGTTCGCTCCATGAGGCTTCCACGGCCAGTCCCACCCCTGACCGGCTGGGAGCCAGCAGGCCACTGGCCGCTGTGGCCCTAGGGGAGTCCGTGCAGTGGCCAGTCTGACCCTGGTCAGTGGGCTGGGGCAGCCACTGCTGGGCAGCCACCAATGGAGCATCCACTGACAGGGAGCCACTGATGGCACAGCCACTGTTGGGCAGACACCAATGGGGAATCCACTGAAGGGGCAGCCACCAATTGGGTATCCACTAATGGGGCATCCACTGATGAGGCAGCCACCAATGGGGCATCCACTGACGGAGCAGCCACTGCTGGGGCAGCCACCGAATGGAGAACCCACTGATGGGGCAGCCACTACTAGGCAGCCACCAATGGGGCATCCACTGACGGGGCAGCCACAGCTGGGGCAGCCACGAACGGGGCAGCCACTGCCAGGGCATCCACAGGCTGGGGCAGCCACTGATGGGGAATTCATGGGCTGGGGCAGCCACTGACGGGGCAGCCACTGACGGGGCAGTCACTGACAGCACCAGCCCTTCTGTGCCACAGTCAGGGATTGAGTCTATCAGGCCTCCGTGGCCAGTGGCCAGGAGTGTGGGTCACTGGGGCAGAGAGGACAGGTTTGCCCTGCTTCCTGGATGTAGCCACCCAGGGTGCAGGAGCCCAGGGCTGGAGCTGGGACTCGGTGCTTGTCCCGCCTGGGCTCTGGGCCCACTGGCTGCGCCCTCCCGCAGGCCTCAGTTTCCCCTGCTCGCCTCTCCATGCGGATGGCTTCCGTGCGCCGCAGCTTCTCCTCCCAGGTCTCGTTGAGCTCGGCTATGATCTTCTCTGTTTCCTGCGGGCGGGACAGAGTGGGGTGAGCCCCCCGCGGGGCGGGGCCGCAGGGGCTCTGGGGGCCGCAGGGGTGCAGGTGCCAGGAAAAGGGGCCGAGCACGGAGCCCACACTCGGGGGTCCCCCAGGCAGAGGACGTCTCTGGAAGCCCAGGGTGAATTCAGAGAAGGTACGACTTTCCCGGGACGCGGGGACAGGGAGAGGCAGAAGAGCCTGGAGGGAGCTCGGAACACAAGTCCCCGGAGACGCTGGGCCTGGCTCCTACCACGGCTGCACCCATCCCTCAGGACGGAGACCCTTCCCAGCACCGGCACCGGCTCTCCGTGTCTGCCACACCCCAGGAGGGGCCCTCACACCCCAGGAGGGACCCCACACCCCAGGTGGCCCCACATTCCCCAGAAGGCCCACACCAACAACGGGCAAGGTGGCCACCATTCCGCCCAGGAAGCCCCAGACACCCCCAGTGCCCAGACTTCCTGCCAGGAGGGGCCACCACACCCCCAGGAGGGGCCCACCACCCCCAGGAGGGGGCCCACGACCCCAGGTGACCACATTCCAGGAGGGCCCCCGCACCCCGAGGTGGACCGCCATTCCAGGAGGGGCCGCCCACCCGCCCAGGTGGACCGACACTTCCCAGGAGGGCCGCCACACCCCAGGTGGCCGGCCACATTCCCAGGAGGGCCCACCGCCAGGTGGACCCACGATTCCCAGGAGGGGCCACCCCAGGTGGCACCGACATTCCCCCAGGAGCGGGCCCACCCCAGGTGTACCCACATTCCCAGGAGGCCACCGACCAGGATGGCCACATTTCCAGGAGGGGCCCCACCACCTCAGGTGGAGCCTCACATTCCCCAGGAGGGGCCGCCACCCAAGGTGGACCCACATTCCCCAGGAGGGGCCCCCACACCCCAGGTGGACCCACATTCCCCAGGAGGCGGCCCCGCACGCCAGGTGACACATTCCCAGGAGGGCCCCCACACCCCAGGTGGCCCCACATTCTCCAGGAGGGCCCCCACCCCCCAGGTGGCCCCACGATTCCCCAGGGAGGCGGCCCCCCAACCTCCAGGTGGACCCACATTCCCCAGGAGGGGCCCCCACCCCAGGTGGACCCACATTCCCCAGGAGGGGCCCCCACACCACCCAGTGACCACATTCTCCGCCAGGAGGGCCCCACCCCCAAGGGAGCCACCACTTCCCAGGAGGGGCCCCACCCCAGGTGGACCCACATTCCCCAGGAGGGGCCCCCACCCCAGGTGGACCCACATTCCCCAGGAGGGGCCCCCACACCCCAGGTACCCCACATTCCCTCCAGGAGGGCCCCCCACTCAGGTGGAACCCACTTCCCCAGCTGGGGCCCCGCAGGTGGACCCACCATTCTCCAGGAGGGGCCCCCACCCACCCCCAGGTACCACATTCTCCAGGAGGGGCCCCACCCCAGCGTGGACGGCCACATTCAGGAGGGGCCGCACAGCGCCAGGTGCCACATTTCCAGGAGGGGCCCGCCACACGTCAGGTGGACGCCCATTCCCCAGGGGGGCCGCCACCCAGGTGACCCACATTCTCCAGGAGGGGCCCCCACACCCCAGGTGGACCCACATTCCCCAGGAGGGGCCCCCACACCCAGGTGGACCCACATTCCCCAGGAGGGGGCCCACACCCAGGTGACCCACTTCTCTCGGAGGGGCCCCCACACCTCAGGTGAACCCAATTCCCCAGGCAGGCCGCCCCCAGGTCCACATTCCCCAGGAGGGGCCCCCACACCCCAGGTGGACCCACATTCCCCAGGAGGGGCCCACGCAGGTGACCACATTCTCCAGAGGGCCCACACGTGGCCAGGTGACCACATTCTCGTCAGGAGGGGCCACAGCCCCAAGGTGGACCACACTTCCCCAGCGAGGGGCCCCACCCCAGGTGGACCCACATTCCCCAGGAGGGGCCCCCACACCCCAGGTGGACCCTAACCTCAGAGCCGCAGCCCCACCCCACCCTCCACACCGTGCTCGGGTCGGCACTGTGTCTTCGGCCCCCAGCCACCCGCTCGCCCCAGGTCCTGGCTCACCAGGCCCGCTCCTGCGCTTTTTTCGACGTGCGAATGGAAAACCTAGAACCAGCCAAGCCCAGTGCGGAACCAGGAGCACGGCCGGGAGTGGGCCGTGGCCGTCCAGCGTGTAGTGTGACAGGGACTCCTGCCCGAAGCCCTTCTCCACGGGTGCAGGCCCCGACACCACACCAGGCACAGCGAGAGCTGCTGCGATCTAGCAGTGACCCCAGCAAAGGGGTGCGTGGGCCGGGGGGGTGGGACTGACTCCTCCCCACACGGGGTCCCCCAGGGCCCCTCCCTCCCCCCCCCCGCTCCTGACCCGGCACCCGCCTACACGAGGAATCGGGTCCCGGGCGCCCAGCACTGAGCGCTCCCCCAGGCTTGGCATGGGGTGCAGGGGGCCACAGGCCGTGCAGACACCAAGGCCGGGGTCCCATGGGGGCCCCTTCTGCCCAGCAGACGGGTCCCCGGCAGCCCACGGCCTGGGGCCCCCAGATGAACGCCCTGGGCTGCCTTGGGCGCCGAGGGTGGTGGGGACAGGCCGCCGTGCACCTGGGTGGCCTCACGCCCGAGACTGTTCTACTCCGGTTTCTCAAGCCCTTCCCGGAGCCCGGCCCTCCGAGCCCCCATGGTGCCCCACGGCGCCCCACGGCCCTCACCTTCAGCCTCTCGATGGCCTCCTCGCTGCCCGGGGCGAACAGGATGCGCTCGTGGAGGCTGGACACGGAGGCCGCACGGCTGGACAGGGCGGAGAGCGAGGACGAGGGGCTCATGCCCACCAGGGCGTTGGTCACTGTGGAGAGATCGTCAGGGATCGACTCAGCGCCAGTTACGGTTATCGTTCTCAAGGGCGGACACGTCCACGGGGAGGGAGGCAGGGAAGGCCGCAGACAGGAGAGAGAGAGAAGACAGACGCAGTCGGGAAACGGCAAGGGAGGGTGCGGGAGGGGAGAAGCAGCAGCCCTGCCGTGGCCCAGCCAAGCGCATGCAAGGCCGTCCGGCCCCACCAGACGGGTGGCGGACGGGCCCAGCCCCCAGGCCACCCTCCCCGCAGCAGCTTGGCACGGCCGAGCCCCCGGGCCCCCTGGTGTCCCCCACCCCACTGGGCCTTCACCTGCCCTCACCTGCCCTCACCTGCCTCCCAGGGCCCTGCCCGGCGCCGGCTCACGGGAGCCCACCCAGCGCCTGTCCACTGCCCGTCCTGGCACCAAGACCCCCAGGCTCATCCTCATCCTCCCTGGGGGACCATCTGCCCCTCACACCTGCCATCAGCCAAGGCCACCAGTGTCCCCAAGCTGCAGGGGCTGGACTGCTCTAACCGTTCAGCCCACTAAGGTGGAAATTGGCCAGAGACCACCCTCACCGGAGAGGGGAGTGGAGGCCCCCTGCACCTCCACCGCGGCGGTCAGCCCCACCCCGGGGCTGGCTCTCCCCAAGGCCCATGGGGGCCGGGACGCCCCTGGAGTGGGCGGGTGAGGCCCCTCCTGGCAGAAGCAGACGCACGACCGGGCAGCAGCAAGCGGGGGGCCACTCGCGCACTGGGGAACAGGGCGCCCTTGGCCCAAGGTCAGGGAGGCACTGAACCCCCGAGAGCCAGGCCCAAGGCAGAGGGGACAGAGGCTGGCGGGACTTGACTCAGACTCGCGGCAGTTCTGGGGAGCAGGGCCCCGGGTGTGCGGTCAGCTGGACAGACAGCCGGCAGGTGAGGCCCGAGCACGGGGCAGGGCCCTCCAGCCCTCAGCTCTCCTGGGGCCTTGGCACTGATGCTCCAACCTTCCCAGGTCTCCGGGTGCACAGCGGGGTCAGACACCCCGGCCTCGGCCACACTCAGCCTGAGAAGGCCTGGGCTGCACCCGGACCTCCCTGCTGCCTCAGTTTCCCATGTAGACTGTAGAGCTGGGAGCCTGGGCTCACAGGCAGACGCGACCCCACGTCTACCCGGAGGGCCCTGGGGGGGCATCCCTGGCCTTGGGACTCGGCCCTCCCCGCCATGCTGCCAGGCCCGGTGACGGCCGGCGGGAAGCGGGGTGCGGACGGCGGGCGGGGAATACACACATTTGGGTCCTCCGGGCACAGTGCTGGCTACGGGGGAGGGAGGCGTGGCGAGGAGAGACAGAGAAACAGAAGAACAGGGTTGTCTCCAGAGGGCCGAGGCTGGCAGCCGGGAGCAGGCAGGTGGCCACGGGCGGGGAGGGGGGTCCGCAGCGTGGGGGCCCAGGGGCCGCTGCAGCCCGGCACCAGGGCCTGACCTCGGGCTTCCGGGGAGCCGTCTCTGCCCCGCGTGGGCCAGCGCCGCACCCCAACCATGTGGCTGCATCCGGCCTCGTCCGGGGCCCTGCCCGGCCTCCCCCCAGAGGCAGCTCTGCCCAAGGGCGGGGACGGGGACAGAGGGCTGCGGGGGGCAGCTCGGGGCCGCCCGGCCCAGGCCGCAGCCAGCGGGATGGTGGTCCCAGGAGAAAGGAGGTGATGGCCGAGAGCCCCGCCCGGGTCACAGCCAGCGGGATGGTGGTCCCAGGAGAAAGGAGGTGATGGCCGAGAGCCCCACCCGGGCGCGGCGGCCCCGCGGGGACGGGCGTGCGGACACTCACTGTCGGTGATGTCGCCGAGCCCCTGCGCGTACAGCAAGTCCCGCAGCCGCGTCACCTCGTCCTTCAGCTCGCGGATCAGCTTGTTGTTGGGGTCCTCGTTGATGACGGCGTTGCAGCGGATCTGCTTGGCCCGGTCGGCGTACCTGGTGGCAGGGGGGCTTGGGTAGCACCTGGGGCAGGTCCCTGCCCGGGTCCCCACCTGGGGCACAGCAGCCGGGATGGGGGGAGGACTGGTGGCACAGCCTGGTGCAGAGTGAGGCGTCGTCCCCACTGCAAGTCTCCGGGGGCCGTATGGGGGCCCCTGGCCTGGGGACGTCTACAGGTGGGGTCCCCCAGCCCCAGCTCACCCACCTGGGGAAACTGAGTCCCAGGGGGAGAAGGAACAGGGCAGCATCCTCTCCCCCATAGCAAGGTCAAAGCCCTCAGGGAAAGGACACTGCCCTGTCCCTTCTCCCCCTGGGACTCAGTTTCCCCAAGTCTTTGCCCTACACCTGTGGCCCCAGGGTAGGGGAGCAAGTCCAACCACAGGGAACTGTGAGACCGTCTGTGTGTACGTGTGTTCTAGCACATTCCACGCACCCGCAGATGCTCACAGCTACACATGTGTGTCACGTGTACCTATGCTGAGACGCATGCCCTTTTTTCCTTCCTACCACAGCTGATGCGAGGTCCAAAGAGGCAAGAGACCAGACTCAAATAGCCGTGCAGCCCCCTGCAGGGCTGAGGGCCCAGGCTCCCCACCCCACAGCCAGAAAGATCTTTTGAGATGCCCCTGCGCCCCTCTTGCTAATCGGAAACTCCCAGTGCCCCCCCAGCCTGCAGGTCAGTGTGACATCACCCACCGGAGCACACCGCTCCCAGCCTGGTGCCCCAGGGCCCTGGGCCGCCCGCAGCCCCAAAGCGCACCCCAAAGGCCGGTGGGAATGGAACGGGGCCCCTGCAGGCCCGGGAGCCCCAGAACAGCCACTTCCAGCCTCACATAGTCCGGGGTGAAGCCCCCTGAAAAGAGGCAGCCCTGTCCCCGGTGTTCCCAGCCCCAGGCGGGGGGCGTGGGGCCTGCCGCCGCAGAACACACCTCAGCGTGCTGAGGGTCTCGTCGTAGTTGATGTCCGCGGGGCTCAGGGCCGCCACCATGGCCGTCCGCGAGTTGCCACCTGTGGGAACAAGGCCCGGTGAGCCCAGGAGCGGGTGTGACCAGCCACCACGTCCTCTGCCTCTACCCCCTCCTGCGTTCACAGCGGGGGAGACTGAGGCCCAGAGCCACGGGCGGGCCTCAGGCCTCCTCCTCCTCCTCCGTGAACAGGCGACGGGGAGGGAGGACCGGCCCTGCCTGCTGCCCCGTAACGTCACCAGCCACCCCGCCGGCCACGGCCGAGGACGCAGGCGGGAAGGCTGAGGGCCGTTTGCCGCGTTTGCTCCAAGATAAACACTGTTCACGTCCAGCACTTTTTCCCGCTTTCCCGGTTTACCCCTGGAGTGTCACGTGCACGCTGTCAGGCGATGTCTGCTCGGAAACCGCCCAGCACACGTAGGCTCCCGCGGAGGGAACACGGGACAGTGAGCCCAGCCCGGGTACGGTCACCGCTGGCCCTGCCCCGGCCCTCAGGGCTGCTGCTTGTCCCGCCCAGCCTCAGAGACCTATGTCCTCAGGGCCATGGCCCCGGGGTGTGGCTCCCAGGGGACCCTACTGGGACTGTGAGGTGACAGAGGTGACAGAGTGAAGGGCCAGGCACGGCCCCGCCCCCGCCCGGAGCCCAGATGTGGCCCTGTCCGGGAGGCTGCTTCCCTTCCCAGCCCACGTCACGGGTGAAGGAACGACCTCCTGTCCTCTCAGCAGGGCCACCTGCCCCTCCTCCACCCGCTGGGATGCTGGCCCGAGCTGGGGCTCAGCATGGCCGGCTGTGGGGTGCACAGGCTGTCAGCCGGGGCTCGGCAGGCCTCAGCCGTGCAGCTGGGAAGGCCAGAGAGCCCAGCTGTCTGTGATCACCAGCCTAAGACTCAGTTTACCTCCCTGGGAGCCGGGCTCTCCCGCGGTAAATGCAGCTGGAGGGGGGCTGTGAGGTTATTTTTGGGAGGGACGGGATCGGTATTGGGGTGCTCCAATCTCTCACTGCTCAGAACTGAGGTGGGGAGGGGGAGGGGGGCTCATGGCAGCCCCTCGAAACCCAGAAGGTGAACAGGGCTCCCAGATTAGAGTCCCAGCTCCAGATGGGGAAACCGAGGTTCAGAAAAGGGTGGGTACTTGGTCTGGGTGCCACAGCTGATCTGACCCAGGAACGCAGACACCTGTGATGTGTGTTCTTCAGCCCCTTGGCCGTCCTGGTCCTCAGACTTACTCCCACCAGCCCACTGCCGGCCCCTGCCCAGGCCCTCAAGAAGGGCCCCGCCTTGAACTAACTGGGCCCTCCAGGGACACCTCCCGGCCTCGGCCGGGAAAGGGTAAGAGGCCTCCTGGCAGTTGGGCACCCCTTCCCAAGTGGGAAGATGGGCACAGCCCCGGGTGGAAGATAGAGCCCCCGGGACAGGTGAACCAGGAATTCTCACCCAGGTTTTCCCGGAGGAGCCAGGTCAGCACGGAATCTCGGTACGGAATGAAATCTGTCTTCTTCTTTTTCTTGTTCTGTGGGGCAGGAATGTTCAAGGTCAACCCTGCTCACAGGCCCTGCTTCAATGATCCGCTCCCCACCCTCCCCTCAGGACAGAGCACCCTCCACACTCCGGCTACCCCTGCGGCTCTTTAGTCCTCTGTCAGGACAAATAGCGGTCACTCAAAATACGACTCCATCCACGTAACATGGCTGGGAATAGCTTCTCGTGGACACTTGTGATGGACTCAATGATTCTACTAGTTGTGGACGTTCATACATACAGTTCTTCACATTTCCTCAGTCTGTCCACACACAGTTCCTTGGATTTTCTCTCATAGTCCCTGATACATTTCTTAACACTGTTCCTCACTCGGGTCCTCACGTAGGTTCCTCCAGTTTCTCACACAGTTCCTCACAGTTTCCACTGGTTCCTCACGCAGTTCCGCACATAGTTCTCCACAGTTCCTCACAGTTGCACCACACGGGTATTCACATAATTCCACACAGTTCATCACAGCTCTATCACAGCTCTCTCAGACTTCCACACACAGTTCCACACGGTGCCTCACGTAGTTCCTTACTATTCCCTGCGTCCCTCAGTTCCTCACCCTTCCTTCCTGGTTCCTCACACAGTCTGACACTCTGTGTCTCACAGTTCTCTCACAGATCTCTGTCCCACACAGTTCCCCACACGATTCCTCACAGCTCCCTCACACTGTCACTCACTCTGTTCCCCACACCGTTCCACAGAGTTCCTCACATTGCCCACAATTCCCACACTTCCTCTCCCATTTCCGCAGTTCCTCACAATTCTTCACAGAACTTCAGAATTTCCACACAGCTCTCCAAACAGTACCCCACGCTTCACCTAAACAATTGCCCACCTGGTTTTTCACACAGTTCCACACATACTTCTTCCACAGTTCTTCACTCCGTGGCTCCTCATCACTCCCCCACATACAATTCCCACGTATTTCCCCACGTCGTTTCACACACGTGCTCTCACACTTCCCCACAAACTTCTTCCACTTCCCCACAGCTTCTCACACGGTCCCCCACACAACTCCTCAGTTTCCTCACATAGTTACTTGCATAGTTCCTCACGCCGTTCCACAGAGGTCCTCACAATTCTTCACAATGTGCCACACGGTTCTCTCAGTTTCTCACACTGTCCCACACAGTACTTCACACAGGTTCCCATGAAGTTCCCCACACACACTTCCCACAGTTCTCACAGTTCCTTAGGCTGTTCTGTTCACAGTCCCTTGTGGTTTCCACACATAATTCCCACACTTCCCCACACCATCTCATGTTTCCGTAGTTCCTCACAGAGTACACACACCATAGTACCCAACATTTCCCCACACTGTTCCCCACAATTCCTCACACAGTTCCACAAGCACTTCCTACATAGTTCCTCACACGGGCCTTCACATGGTCTTCACACTTCCCCATGCAGTTCCTCACATGGCTCCACACACAATTCTTCATGTTCTTCCACAGGGCTCCTCACACAGTCCCCTGTACCATTCCACACAGCTCTTCACACGGTCCCCTACGCCATTCCACACGGTTCCTCACACAGCCCCCTACGCCATTCCACACAGCTATTCACATGGTTACCTACGACATTCCACACGGCTCCTCACACGGTCCCCTACACCATTCCACACGGCTCCTCACCTGGTCCCCTACACCATTCCACACGGCTCCTCACACGGTCCCCTACACCATTCCACATGGTTCCTCACAGAGCCCCCTACGCCATTCCACACGGCTCCTCACACGGTCCCCTACGCCATTCCACATGGTTCCTCACAGAGCCCCCTACCCATTCCACACGGTTTTCCTACACACATCCCCTAGCATTCCACAAGCGGTTCCTCCACAGTCCCCTTACAGCCATTCCAACGTTCCTCCCACAGGTCCCTACGCCATTCCACACGGCCTCACACGGTCCCTACGCATTCAACCTCCTACCGGTCCTCCGTTCCACAGTGGTTCTCACCGTCACACCATTCCCACGTCCTTACACCGGTCCCTACGCCATTCCACACAAGCTCCTCAACACGGTTTTCCCCTATACCATTCCACATGGTTCCTCACACGGTCCCTACACCATTCCACACAGTTCTTCACACGTCCCCTCTGCCATTCCACAATTTCCGCACACAGTCCCTACGCATTCCACACAGCTCCTCACATGTCCCCTATGCCATTCCACCATGGTTCCTCACAGAGCCCCTACGACCATTCCACACGGCTCCTCACAGTCCCTATCCATTCCACATGGTTCCTCCACAGAGCCCCCTATACCATTCACACGGTCCTCACATGTCCCCTACACATGCCACATGGTTTACCACAGTCCCCTACGCCATTCCACACGGCTCCTCACCACGGTCCCCCTATGCCATTCCCACATGGCTTCCTCACAGATCCCTCTATACCATCACACGGCTCCTCACACGGTCCCCTACGCCATTCCACATGGTTCCTCACAGAGCCCCCTATACCATTCCACACAGCTCCTCACAGTTCTTACATTTTCTCAGTTTCTCAGACAGTTCCACACACAACTCATACAGCTCTCCAGAGTCCCTGACAGGGTCCGTCACCAAGTTCCCCAGGCTTCTCCCCCAGAAGTTTTTCCCGGCTCCTCACACAATCCCCGCACTGTTCCTCTCGTAGTTCCCTCAACTCCACACACTCTCCGGGCCCTTCCTCACACCGCACTGCCGCCATTCCTCACGTGGCTCACACGCTCTCCACGTACCGCCCCACGGCCCTCCGGGTCCGGCTTGAGGCCGCCTCCCGGGAGCCTTCCTGTCCCTGCACACTAAGTTGGCTCCCTTCGGGGTCACTCTCACGGCCCATGTCTTTCCTTGCTGGAATTCATCCCAATTGCAACTATGCTTTTGCTTTTCTGTCCTCCCCCGCTGAGCTGCAGACCCGGAAGACCTGCGCTGTTCACCACGAGGCCCCGACGCAGGCACAGGCCCGCCCAGAGTGGGCTCAAGGCGTGTGTTTGAGCGAGCAAAGGGGGCACTTGAGGGCTGAGACCCGCGTGGGGACAGCTGGGCCGCGGCGATCTGCTCCCAGCCCCCTCCCCTCAGGACTAAGGAAGCGGCTCACCTTGTTGGGTCCGGAGTCCTGAAAATGAAAAGACAGGAAGAGTCTGAGGACCTGGGGCAGGGCTGGGGCCCCAGGGTGTGAGGGGGGAGAGGGGGGGATGTCCTGACTCCAGATGACAAAAGAGCAGGCAGGGCCTGGGCTCATGCTGGGAGTCCACCACTCGCTGCCCGCCATGGCTGCCCGCCCCCCGGCACCGATCCTGCCAGGCCAAATGCCAGTGTGGCCTCCCAGGCTGCCGCCCCAGCGGTCTCCCCTCCACCCCGTGACAATTTCAGAGCAGGGTGGTCCTTCCCTGGCCTGAGGCCTGGCGTCTTGGCAGGCGGGCCGTGCTGCTTGTCCTGCATGACCCCCCCGGCCCAGCCCCTCACCACCAAGGGCCGTGGGCTCCCCCAGAGGACCGACAAAATCCGGCCAAGCAAGGTCACTGCTGACCACAGCCCTGCCCTTCCGGAACACCCGCCAACACGCTCACTGCGGCCCGTGGAAGCTCTCGGACCAGCCCTGTGAGCAAGGTGGCACACCCCCATTTTACAGGTGGGGAAACTGAGTCCAGGCAGCGAGGAGGGTCACTGCTCCATCACCAGCCTTGTGACTGCTCCCCTGCTCTCTGGGCTTTCCCATGGACCCTCCACCGCCTCACCGCGGACGGGTCTGGGAACAGGGATGCCAGGCCCCCGGCACCTCCGTGGCCCACCCTGTCAGTCTAGGCCCAGGAGCCGGAGCCAGCTCACCATTTCCGCCAGCGCAGAGATGACCTTCCCCAGCGTGGTCAAGGACTTGTTGATGTTGGCTCCCTCCTGTGAGCGGACGGGGTGGTCGGGACGTCAGGAGGCCTGGGAAGCCCCTTGCCCCACAGTGACCCCCTGGGGCTGAGGCCACCGGCCCTGACTGCTGACCTCTGGGGCCAGCCAGAGGCCAGCCAGAGGTCAGAGGTCAGCCCGAGGCCCACCCACCGAGGAGAGCGGTCAGTCCAGCGCTTCTCCCGGGCTCCATGGGAACCCCAGCGACAGCCCACGCCTCCCCACGGGAGCCGTTTGCAGGGCCCCTGCCAACCAGCGGACGACCGCAGTGTCCGGAAAGTAAAAGCTTCTCCCCCTCCTGACTCCCAGGACTGTGCCGACAGGGGTGAGGTGGCCCCCGGACGCTGGCCAGCGGCTCCCGGCCCACGCGCCCTTGCAGGGAACGCGGGCACCGCCGGCCCCGGCACTGTGAGGGTGCGGGAGGTCCTCGATCCCCCAGAGTGGGAGCCCTACGGCCCCAGCCTGCACCCCACCCGCCCTGCCCAGGCCGCCCGGGGGTGCCCACGGCCCTGCCGCCCGGCCTACCTTGAGCCGCGTGCCCTTGGCACCTGTGGAGTCTGCGCGCTCGCTGCCCGCCAGGTCCACCAGGCTGATCTTGCTCACCTGGGAGACAGGGCGGTGTCCCATGCAGGAGACGTCATGAGGCCACGGCTGGGGGCGCCGTGGCCAAGGCGGCCTCCTCCAACCCCGCAGTCTCCGCCCACACCTGTCCGCAGCCCTTCCATGCTGCATCCGAGCGAGGTGCAAAGCCACCCCCCCCCAGGAGGCCACGTGGCCGTGGTGCAGCCACGCTGTCTCCGTGCTCCACGCACTCTGCACTCGGTGATGCACTAACTCCCTGTAGCGCCTCGAGGTGCGTCTGCCCCGTCCCTGACCTCCGCAGACAGCCCTTATCGTCTGCAGGGGGATTCGAACCCAGCTCCGGAGAGGGCCACGGCCGCCCGGGCGCCACTGTGCCCAGAGTCCCCAGCAATGGCCGGGCTCCCTGCAGGGCTCCCTCACCCTGGGGTGTCACGTGCACCCCACGGGGCGCAGCCCCCCAAGCCGAGGCTGCAGGGCAGGACTCGCCCGGTGTTTACAGGCCGTGGACACCAGCAGGAACCTCTCAGCGCCCAGCCAGTGAGGGCCGAGGCCCGGCAGACCCAGTTCCGGCTTCGCCCTCCCTGCTGGCACCCTCGGCTGCCAGAGCCCCCGCGCACTGCCGCACGGGCCGTGGCTGAGAGAATGAGCCAGGTGCGGTGACCTCCTCCAGGGACTGACTGACCCTGACCTCACCCTGCAGCCCTCAAGTGAGCCCTGAGAGAACCCACTGCTGGGGGGTGGCTGAGGGGCCCCCAGCGTTGGGTGTGGGGGTGTCACAGCCGCAGACAGACAGGGAGAGATTCGGCACCTGCCCGCTGCCCCTTCTGGAAGCCCAGGAAACTGCGTGTCTCCGATGAGGCCCCGGAAGGTGACGCCCCTGATCCACCGAGGACGCCGGGGTGTGTGGGAAGGGCATCTGGGCTGGGGCAGCTGGCGGGGCCGTGACTGCTGGGCACAAACCGGCTTTTGTGCCCACGCAGGCCGGCGCCCACCAGGAGGCCCTGCGCTCTGGACAGAGCAGGGGACCGAGTCCCGCCAGCTGCACCAGCGCCCGGCCACCTCTGCGGCAGCCACTCCCCACTCACTGCCACTGCCACCCTCTGATGGCCACCCAGCTGTGGCCGTGTCTCATCCGTCCCCCGGCCTGCGGGGCTGCTGCACTGTGGGGCTGACCTGGGGACACCCCTCTACAGCCCCCGGAGGCTCCCCCAAAACAGCCCAGACCCCAGCTCCCCCATGGCCCCTCAGCTCAGGTCCCTGCCACACCCCGTGGCCACACTCACTGAGAGGAGGTGACCGGTGCCCGGCGTGAGGACACTGCCCACACCTCACTGGCCCGTGTTGGCTTGGCATCCTCGTCCCGCCCTGACCCCCCACACCGTGACCACGGCCACGGCCTGCTGTGACACCCTCCAACAAGGCCGCGCACTCACCTTCTCCGTGGTGATGTCCGTCTCTGCGTCGTGGCGCTTCTGGGTGAAGATGATGTTGAACACGGCGTGGGAGCGGCTGCTGGTCTCGTTCATGTTGGTGGCGGCCACAGTCCTGAGGGACAGGAGGCCACATGTGATTACCCGTGGCCCATGGTTAGGTATGACAGTGGCTGGTGGCACCGCCCACAGGACCAGGCCATCATATCCGCTCCCGGCTGCCCTGCCCGACCAGGTGCCGGCTGCACACCCCCCATCAGAGCTCGAGTGAGGCCCACGCCCACCTGCCCACCGTGGCGTCCTCAGCCCAGCCCACGCCTGGCATGTAGTGGGCGCAGTGGCTGAGAGAGCTTCCTGTTCCCGGGGTACCTGGTGAGCCCCAGTGCCACACAGCTGGGCAGGAGCCCCTGGCCCTGATGTGGGAAAGCCCCCCCAGCAGGGGAAGGCACTTCCACATCCATCCCAGGCCGTGGCCCGTACCAGCCGTTCCAGGAGCCCCAGGACCCCACCCATCCCCGGGAGCCCACCCTCAGCTGCAGGTCCTGGGGGAGAGCCCAGGGCTGCCTGGCAATGGCCAGAGCTGGTCAGATGCCCCTGGCCTGTGGAGACCTCAGAGAAGTCTCCCTAGCACCCGGCCCCCGTGGCAACCACTGTCAGGCCACAGCGAGGGTACCCTGGGGCTCCTTGTCAGGAATGGTGTCTGGGGGCCACCAGGCGGTGCTGGTGGCACTCAGCAAGACTGATGTGGGCTATCGCCTCACCCTCTGGGGAGTCCCGGGTGGCGGGGGGGGGGGTTGCACTGTTGTCATGACAACCAGGGCATCCCAGACAGGAGGCCCAGGGCAGGAGCAGGTCATGGCCGGCATTGCTACGCCACTGACCCTTCCCCATGTGTCCCCAACACCCAAGCCACTCCTGGCACAAGGGCGCCCCACGGTCTCTGGACTCCCGGCCTCACTGAGGCAGTGGCCACAAGCGCTACTGCACCCCCAGGGCACCTGTGCTGCAGGGCAGAGCCCCCCACGGAGGGTGGCCCCCATACAGAAGGGAGCCGTGGCCTCTTGCAGGCCACCACGCCCCTGAATGTCTCAGGCACCTGAGGCCACATGTTCACAGGGGCCGCCAGACAGACCCCCTCCCCAGGGGAGACCGACAGGTGCCCAGGGCCAGGCCAGGGTTGGGGGGCCTCCTTGGAGTAGGAGAGAGGGCCGAGGCAGGGAGTCACCCCCACACACCTGGCCTTGTTCCCTGAGTCCATGAGGTCCTGGATGTCATTGTAGGAGGTGACGGCCAGCTTGGACAGGTCCTCCACGTAGGGCCCCAGCAGCGGGTGTTCCCTCACGCGCAGGTTGCCCTTGTTCTTGGGGTTCAGCAGGTCGCGGACTCGCTCACAGTAGATCTCCATGTAGCTGACCTGGGGGCCGAGGGCCGGGCCATGAGGGCCCCGCGGTGGCCCTGCATGCGCGTGCGCGAGGTGGGGTGTGGCCCGCCCCCGCCCGGCCAGCCTCCCCTGGCCGCCGCCATGCTGGGCTCGGTGACACGCACCCACCAGGGCCACCCCCAAGGCGCCTGTCCCCACACTCAGCACAGAACACCCGCTCAACAAACCCGGAGGACTGCCCCCCCTGCGCCCCGTGCTCTGGGAGCCCCCCAGCCCTGCGTGGGCTCGCGGGTGTGGGTGTCCCGCGGGTGGGTGACCGGGTGCCTGAGGATGGTGGCAGGGGGGACCTACCTCCACGGAGTAGGACATGTTGTCGTTGGTGGTGTCGTTGATCCGGGAGAACAGGTCCTCGCAGAGCTGCGAGCCGAGGGGCACCGTAAGGGCGGGGGCTGCTCCCCGGCCACCGCCCCCGCGCCTCCCGCACCCTCGGGATGTGGGCGCCAAGGGGCCTTGTCTGCTTCTTAGCTCAGGGTCCCCCCGCTGGGATCCAGTCCTCTCTGGGGGTCGGCAGCGAGCACAGGGACCCGCACAGGGACCCGCTCTGCCCTCCCACGCACAGCCGGCCCCTACCCAGCGGGCGCAGAGCCAAGCAGCTCAGGGAAGGGCAGGGGTGATGAGTCTGGGGTCTGCAACCTGCTCCCAGGTGGGCGTGGCTCCCCCAGGGGCATGGCTCTCCAGGGGCGGGGCTCCCCCAGGGGCGGGGCTCCCCCGGGGGCGGGGCTCCCCCGGGGGCGGGGCTCCCCGGGGGCGGGGCTCCCCAGGGGCGGGGCCCTGATGTGCTTATCCTCTGGGCTCCCTGCTCTGGGGCTCCTGCGGTCCAGGGGCCCAGCTGGTCCTGCCCTGCCTGCTGGCCGCCCTCCAGTGCCCACCGCCCGCCCCGGCCGCGTGCCTGCGGGATGATGCCCTGCTGGTCCTTCTCCTGCTTGCCCATCATGGTGTAGGACTTGCCGGCGCCCGTCTGCCCGTAGGCGAAGATGCACACGTTGTAGCCCTCGAAGGCGTGCTGCAGCATCTCCTCGCCGATGTCGCGGTACACCTGCTTCTGCGACGCGTAGTTGATGTCCTCGGGCTGGGGACAGAGGGCGCGGCTGCAGGAGGCTGGGTGGGCCTGAGGCCCAGCCCACCCTGTCCCTGTAGCCAGGCGGTGCCCAGGCCTCGGGGTGTGGGGGCAGTGTGTGTGTGTGGGGGAGTGACACCTGCCCCCACCCTGATCCTGCCTGGGGGCGGCTCCCGGAGGAGGGGCTCCCTTCCCCACAAGGGAGGGATGAAGAGCAGCTGACCAAGCTAGCGGGCAGGCAGGAGGGCGGGACCCGAAACCAAAGTCCCCTCCATGTGACAGTGGCAGGAGGGACAAGAGCTCGGGCTGGAGGGGGCAGAGTCGGAGGCCCAGGGACCCCCCAGGACTGGGCCAGCGTCCGGACCCATCCTGAGGGTGGCGGGGTGCTTTAGGCCAGGGCCATGTGGGAGGAAGGCGGGACTGGACAGGGGAGGTGGGGAGCCCTGGGGCCGTCCAGGGCCAGGTGCTCAGAGACATGCAGGTGAGGGGCTTGGGTGGGGGCTCTGCCTTCTGGAAGGGTGCAGGAGGTGGTGGGTGGTGGGCAGGCCCCGCGTGGACTCGACGTGGATGGGAGGGGAGGAGTCCAGGGGTCTCCCAGGCTCCCTGCGTGTAGGGCCTGGTGCCCGGCGGCCGCAGGGTCAGCTTTGGACACTCTGAGTGTCGGCCGTCTGGGGAAGTAGTGACGGCCATGGCAGACAGACACGGCTCAGCCCCGGCCACGGCCTCGCTGGGGGCAGCGTGTGTCCTTCCAGGGAGCAGGGTGGGGTCCCCACCCATTAGAGGGGAACATGCACTCAGACACCCCCCCCAAAGTCCATGCGCCCCACACCCCTGTGGCCCAACCTGCCCCCACCCCGCTCACCGAGGTGTGTGACCAGTAGGAGTAGTCGAAGCTGAAGCTCTTGGGCGTCTCCTTGGGCTGCTTGGGGTTGATGATGGCTGCGGGTGAGGGGACACATGCGGTGGTCAGGGTGACCCCGGCCCGCTGCAGTCTGCACCCCCAAACATGGGAAAGTCAGCCTTGGGGCCCTCTGGCTCCGGACACCGGAGGGGTCAGCACCCTCTCCCAGGCAGACGAGCCATCTCCGCACCCCCCTCTTTGTGGGGGCCCATGATACCCAGGACACCACGGCACCCACCTGCAGGGCCCTGCGCTGTCCCCCACCAAGGGCCCCGAAGGTGGCCCAGGAGGGTCCTTCCTGCAGACCCTGGGCCCCACCCCCACCCCTGGCGTCCCCCACCCCCACCAGGCTGCCGTGCTCTGCTCTGCTCGCACAAACCCAGGAAGCCCCAGGAGGCCAGGGCATCTGTCACATGTCACAGCTTGTTTGTTCCCGTCAGGGGACAGTCAGGCTATTCCTAGGTTTGCCGCCGTGCACAGAGCTCTCAGGGACTGTCCTCTGCAGGAGCCCCTCCCCCATACCTACACCCAGCTCCCAGCCCAATCCCGGCACCTGGGCAGGCTGCAGCCCACAGAACATCCATTCCTCAGACCAGGAGCAAGTTTGACAATGAGCGATGACGCCGTCCCCCATGGCGTGTCCCAGGAGCCCCCACCCCACCTGCTACCTTCCACCCGAGTCCCCAGCACCTCCCAGGTCTGTACTGAGCAGACCGAGAGTCCTCAGCGGCCAGACAGAAGAACGCACTCCCCAGAGCACTGTCTGAGCCCGAAACGTCTGTGGTTCACCACTCCCCCTGCCAGGCCAGCGGCAACCCCACTCCTGGGTTGTCCCACCCGGGAGGCGCACAGCCAGTCCTGGTTGGCAGGTCCCCACCTCTGGGGCCGCCTGGGAGACCAGCCCCTCCTGTCACTCCCTGCTTGGAGACACAGGCCATGTCTGTCCATCCTTCCACTGGTGTTCCTCCCAGGCTGGGGCTCGGGGGGGGGTCCACAAAGAGTGCGGGGCCCCCTTGCTCACGCCACCGACACCCGCCTCTGCCCCCTCCCAAGAGCCCCATCCCTCTCCCACCCCAGCCCGGGGCCTCCTGGTCTGCACTTGCCCAGCCCCGGGCTGAGGGGCTTGTGGTGCCGCGTGGGCCGTGAGCTCCCAGGGGTGAGGCCTCCTGGGCACGTGGAGCAGGTGCAGCCCTGGGAGCCCCAGGAGGTCAGGGTCTGCAGACAGCAGAGGGGGACCCGGGCGGTCATGGCCCCATGCTGCAAATGGTCCAGGGGGAAAGTCTGCCACGGGGCCACCCAGCAGGGTCCCTCAGACCTCCCTGTCCCTTGTCCCGTGTCCCCAGCCCCTCCCCCAGGTCTTGGCCTGGGAAACACCCTCTGTCGTCACAGGTGGGTTCCCAGCGCCAGAGGGGACGTCCTCTCCCCAGGTTCCAGGGCAGACTGGAAACCAGGATGCCCCACGCCTGGCCATCCCCCTGCACCTGGAGCCCGGGAAAGGGCCCCCTAAGGCCTGTGGGCCCCAGGCCACCCCTCCCGCAGCCGTGGCGTCTCCCTGAGAGGAGCCGACTCTGCAGGATAAGGAGGGGCTCCCCACGGGGTCCCGAGCTTTCCCTGTGCAGGTGTGAAGAGCGAGGAGCCAGCCTCCTGCTCCCGCTCATTGCAAGCCCCATCTCGGCCAGGCCCAGCGAGGGCCCACGCCAGGCAGCCTCCCCGGCTCTGCTCCGGCGCTCGGGAGGACAAAGCCCAGAGCCAGAGCGGGAGGCTCCGAAGGAGGGAGGGGAGGTCTGCGGGGCCGCGGGATGGCTGTGCTGACCTGGCTCCTACCAGTGGCCGCTCAGGACTGAGGGCGTTCCCCAAACGCGCCTGTGCAGCCCGACCAGAGCAGGGTGCTGTCTGGAGGCCCACAGTGGCCGCCCCGAGACCCGGCCCCTCCTGACGCTCTGAGACCCCGCAGTGTGTCCACCCAGGCAGGGCGGCCACGGGCCACCCCCCACCCACCTCCTCCTCCACCAACTCGCTAACGGGCCCCCATCCCCCTCCCACGGCGAGTGCACACCAGGCAGGCCTTCCGGGGCCCCGCCCACCCAGGGTCACGGTTCCCAACTGGGTCACCACTCACACCTGGGGTCACATTTCACACCTGGGGTCATGCCTCACACCTGGGGTCATGCCTCACACCTGGGGTCATGCCTCACACCTGGGGTCATGGCTAATACCTGGAGTCACATTTCACACCCGGGGTCACAGCTCACACTTGGGGTCATAGCTCACACTTGGGGTCATAGCTCACACTTGGGGTCACAGCTCATACCTGGGGTCACTGCTTACACCTGGGGTCACTGCTCACACCTGAAATTGCACCTCACACCTGGGGTCACAGCTCGCACCTGGGGTCACAGCTCATACCTGGGGTCACTGCTTACACTTGGGGTCACTGCTCACACCTGAAATTGCACCTCACACCTGGGGTCACAGCTCGCACCTGGGGTCACAGCTCACACTTGGGGTCATAGCTCACACTTGGGGTCACAGCTCATACCTGGGGTCACTGCTTACACCTGGGGTCACTGCTCACACCTGAAATTGCACCTCACACCTGGGGTCACAGCTCGCACCTGGGGTCACAGCTCACACTTGGGGTCACAGCTCACACTTGGGGTCACGGCTCCCACCTGGGGTCACAGCTCACACCTGGGGTCATGCCTCACACCTGGGGTCATGCCTCACACCTGGGGTCATGGCTCATACCTGGGGTCACAGCTCACACCCGGGGTCACAGCTCACACTTGGGGTCACATTTCACACCCGGGGTCACAGCTCACACTTGGGGTCACGGTTCCCACCCAGGGTCACAGCTCACACCTGGGGTCACTGCTCACACCTGGGGTCACGGCTCATACCTGAAATTGCACCTCACACCTGGGGTCACAGCTCACACCTGGGGTCACAGCTCACACCTGGGGTCACAGCTCACAATTGGGGTCACAGCTCACACTTGGGGTCACAGTTCCCACCTGGAATCATAGCTCACACCTGGGGTCACAGCTCACACTTGGGGCCACAGCTCAAACTTGGGGTCATAGCTCACACTTGAGGTCACAGTTCCCACCTGGAATCACAGCTCACACCTGGGGTCACAGCTCACACTTGGGATCACAGTTCCCACCTGGAGTCACAGCTCACACCTGGGGTCACAGCTCACACTTGGAGTCACAGCTCACACCTGGGGTCCCAGCTCACACTTGGGGTCACAGTTCCCACTTGGAGTCACAGCTCACGCCTGGGGTCACAGCTCACACTTGGAGTCACAGCTCACACTTGGAGTCACAGCTCACGCCTGGGGTCGCAGCCCCTGCACAGCCTGTGGCTCCCCACTTTGAGGCCAGGGTCACACCACTTGCACTTCCTCTGGCCTCGCAGGGCCAGGCCAGCGGTCACTGCCGAGGTGGGACTGCCGGGCACGCAGCATCATCCGGGCAGGGTACCCGGGACGTGCGCTCTGCTTGTCAGAGGGTCCCGCGAGGCCGAGCCCCCATGCCCCTTCCTCAGCTTCCTCCCCCGACCTCTGCACCCCCCCCAGTGCATCCTGGGATCTCCACCTAAATAAACTCTTAGCACCCTAAACCTAGTCCCGGAGTCACCTTCCAGGGCCCAAACGGGCAAGACCAAGACCGCCCGTCACAGTGTCAGGATGACACTGAGGGTGCCCTGGGCACCGTCCCACAGCCCCGCCCTGGGCTTGGCCACGGCCGCCCCTGCCTGCCCACAGCAAGACAGGGAGCCAGGGAGCTCCACAGGCTTCCGGAAGGATCACGCCCAGCCCAGACGCCCCCTCCACAGGCCCTAACCTGCCCAGAACATTCTCAAAGACACCCAGGTCCTCGCGGCCCACAGGCCCAGGAGGCCACCCTAGGGCGGCAGCTTCCACCAGACCCGAGTGTCCTTCCCCTCCGCACCCGCCCCCAAACCCGGCAGATAACAGAGAAGGGGTGTACGGGCTCTGTCTGCTGTTCATATCGGAGAACCAGGTGGCTGTTGGCGCCCACAGCTCGGCGCAGCTGAGGCCACGAGAGCCTGAGCACAAACCGCCCGGCTGAGCCCAGGCGACCGCAGGACTGAGGGTGGGATGGCTCGTTCCTGCTCTACGACACCCGCTTTGGGGCCAGCGTGATCAGCACAGGTGACTCTAACACTGGTGCAATTTGCACGGCCCCCAGGTGAGCCCACCTGACCGTTAGCACAGGTGACCCTGGTACAGCCGAGTCCTGCCTCTTGGCGTGGGCACTGCTGACCCTGGGCGCTCACACTGAGGATTCACAGAGCTAGCTGCACACGGGTCTGCCCGCCTTTCTGCATGTCTGTTGCACGTCAACGAAAAAGCCCATAAATAAATAAAGCGCGAAGGGGGCGGTTCTGTCTCTCCCGCCCCCAGCGGCTGAATCCTGCACGCTGAACACTCTGGCGGGTGGTTCTGCCCCTCCGGCCTCCTTGCAGCTGCCTTCCGACCCTCGCTCCTCCCCATTCCTCAAGTCTGCTCCAGCCTCCGACTCCTCAGAGGTCGGAGGTCACTTACAACCAGAAACAAAGCAAAGGAATGGGCAAAAGGGGAAAAACTCAAAACCCTACAGCCGCTGAAATAAGTAAAAAATCACGTCTGCGCACACCGGTTTGAACGGCGCCCCCCAAAAAACCAACGCCCCCCGGGAACCTCAGACCTTCAACAAAGGGATTTGCTCTGCGAAGTTCGGATTTGGTCGAGGGGCCACTTGTGGGGTCTGCAGGGCCACACGTGGCCTTGAGGCTGCGGGCTCCCCACCCTGGGGTGGGCCCTAGATTCACTGGCTGGTGTCCGTATAAAAGGGCCACATGGAGACACGGAGACATGGGAGGGGCCCCGTGCCGAGGGGGCCGAGGCTGGAGATGCAGCCACAAGCCAAGCTGGCCGGCGGCCATGTTGGGCCCAGTGAGGCAGGGAGCATCCTCCCTAGAATCTGGGGGTGAGGCCTGCTGACCCCCCGCTTTTGGACTTCCGGCGGCCAGAACTGTGGGATTAACTCCTGTCTCTGTAAGCCCCCCGGTTTGTGCCTCTCTGTCACAGCGCCCGCAGGCCACCGTGCACGGCAGACAGGGAGGGGGACACGGCTCCCCAGCCGGGCCAGGCGGGCTGTGCAATCGGCGGGAGCCGCCACGGCCCATGCCCGGCGCCGAGGCCATGCGGGCAGTACTCACTGGTGGTGCTTCCGGACATCTGGATGATGCACTTGGAGTCCCGGCTCATCTCACGGGAGTTGAAGGGGCGGACGCGCACCGCCACCTTCACCGAGGCCCCGGCCATCTCCGCGGCCGTCCTCGTGGGTCACTCGGCAGCAGCGAGGGGGGGGGCACCTTGGGGAAAAGGGAAACGCGGGTTAGAAACCGTCCTGGCGCGCTGGCTGCCGGTGGAGCCCACGGGTCTTCCCCACGCCCTTCCAAAACCAGCAACGTGGCACAAGCACGGGGCACCCGTCACGGGGCCGGGGACGAGAGGGGCGGCCGCAGGTGACGGGGGCACGAATTCTAGAAAGCAGAAAGCCAGGCCGGGCGCAGTGGCTCACACCTGTAATCCTAACACTCTGGGAGGCCATGGCTGGAGGATCGCTGGAGGTCAGGAGTTTGAAACCAGCCTGAGCAAGAGCGAGACCCCCTTCTCTACTGAAAATAGAAACAAATTAATTGGCCAACTAAAATATATAGAAAAAATTGGCCAGGCATAGTGGTGTACGCCTGTAGTCCCAGCTACTCGGGAGGCTGAGGCAGGAGGATCGCTTGAGCCCAGGAGTTTAAGGTTGCTGTGAGCTAGGCTGACGCCACGGCACTCACTCTAGCCTGGGCAACAGAGTGAGACTCTGTCTCAAAGAAAAAGAAAAAAATAGAAAGCAGAAAGCCAAAGGGGCCAGTGGAACCCAGCTGGGCCGGCCTGGAGAGCTGGAACCCGACACCGCGCACCAGAACCGGCCCTGCTGAGCCCGTCCAGAGACGGTGACCTCTGAACTCGGGGCGAGCAGCTCCGGAAGGGCCTCCCCTGTGGACACAGAACGGGGGGCTCCACGCTGGGTAGGTGCCAGACCCCCGAGCGAGCACTGGCTCAAGACCACAGTGTCAAGGACGTCATACAGAGGAGCAGCGTTCCGGAACGTCCCAGCAGGAGCACGGTATCCCAATTGGCAGGACAGAGACCTTCACTCGGAAAACAAAGAGTGGGCAGGCGGCCCCAGGCCACATGACGGAGTCTACGTTTTCAGCACAATTCACAGAAAAGGACGAGCCCAACATTCCTGCCTCACACCAAGGAGGGGCCGCCCTCGAATCCCCACAAATTCTACACGAGCCAGGAGTAGGACCGGCCCCGGTCCTGCCTTTGCCCGGCTGTGTGCGCTAGCTCCCCGGGCCTCAGTTTACAGATCTGTGCAATGACAGGGCAGAGGTTGACGGCCCCAAAGTAGTTTTGCCTCTCGGGTGCAGGGGCTCCGAGGAAGGCTGCAGAAAGTTCCTGACGACGGAGCACCCCCTCGGAAAGGGCTTTCCCAGCGCCTGGCCACACGCCGTGGTCATGTCCCCCAAGGAGGACGTGGGGTCTGGGGACGGGGGTCCTGGCAGCCAGGAGAGAGGCCCGGGGGGCACAGAGCTGACGGCTATGGAATGGCCGGAGCACCGGGAAACCGACTCGCTCAGCCTGGCGCGAAGAGGAACTCTCCGGGCTCCCGCCTAGTGCTGTCCAAAAGGACCGTGGGCAGCCGCTGCGTGGTGAGCCCCCTGCCACGGGAGGCATCCAAGTAGAGCAAAGGCCGGGTGGTCTCTACGAAGCCCTTCCACACTGACACTCCACGAAACGCCCTTCTGGAAAGACAAGCTCCTGCCTTGTCCTCCCGCCCACGACTGCCACCCGTGGGGGGGTCCGGCCCAAGGCCCTGTCCTGCAGTGGCCCAGCCTGGCATCCCTGAAGAAGGGACAGGGGCCCGAGCACCTCTGGCTGCCCCCTGGGGACTCCGAGATCAGGAGCAGGAGGGGCCTGTCTGCAGAAGGAGAGGGACCCAGTGCTCCCAGACCCAGCCCGGGCCGGTCCCTGCACCCCAGGGCTCCCCGACAGCACAGGCTGGACAAGAGCAGGGCTGTCCCCGGGCAGACAGCCACGGGGCAGGGAGATGCTCCAGACCCCCCTGTAATCGGGTAGACAAGCTCTCGGCGTGGCCGGGCTCGTGGCCGGCGGCAGCACAGCCCTTGCCGCCAGCAGGCGCACTGCGCCCACACTCCACGCCCCCATCGCTGTCCCCTCTTCGCACGCCCACGAGTGACCACCCGGCCGGACAGAGGGACCCTCCTCTCTGACAGGTGTTTCCTGACGTCGACAAATCTCTGCACTTTTGAAATCTTCGGGCCTTCCAGCCAGAGAAGGGGAGTTGGGGAGAAGAGGGAAGCTCAAGGCAGGCTCGAGCCGCCCACCTCCGCCTTTGGGGAGTCCCGCACCCCCCGGCTCGGAATCCCCAAGCTGACAAGGAAATAATCAGAAACGAAGACAATATTTATGGAAACAGATGTTCTGTTTGACATTGCACAGTTTCAGTCCTCCCCAGATTTAGCTATATGTCATAAATTCAGTGCAGTTCCAATAAGCGAAGTATTCCAACAGGACTGTCGACGGAATTTGGCAGGACAAGAGAATTTTGAGAAATCAGAACAAAGACGGGAAGACATTCCCTGCCGGCTGCCACGTGTCTGCGACCAAGGTCTGGGAGTGGCGCGGGCAGACCGTGCAGGCCCACAATGGACGGGCAGACACACACAGACCACACGCACCATACACACACTACACACACACCACACACATACCACACACGCCACACACACCATACACACACTACACACCCAACACACACACCACACACATACCGTACACACCACACACGCCACACACCTCCTACACACACACCAAACACCCCATACACACCATACATACCACACACCACACATGCCACACACACCAAACACCCCATACATCATACACACAATACACACACCATACACATCATACACACACCATACACACAATATACACACCATACATACCACACACCACACATGCCACACAATATACACACCATACATACCACACACCACACATGCCACACATACCACACACACCATACATGCCACACACACCAAACACACCATACACCATACACATCATACACACCACACACACACCACATACACCACACACACACCACACACACCACACACACCAAACACCCCATACATCATACACACAATACACACAGCATACACATCATACACACACCATACACACCATACATACCACACACCACACATGCCACACATACCACACACACCATACATGCCACACACACGAAACACACCATACATCATACACACCATGCACACAATGCATACACCATACACATCATACACACCACACACACACCACATACACCACACACACACCACACACACCACACACGCCACACATACCAAACACACCATACATCATACACACCATACACACAATACACACACCATACACATCATACACACCACACACACACCATACACACCACACACACCACACATCACACACACCATACACACCAAACACCATACATCCATACATACCATACACACAATAAACCACCATACACATCATTACACGACACACCAACACCGCCACACAACACCAACCACACACACACGAGTCCCACCCGGGACAGGCAGCGCTGACAGAAGGCGGCGCATCAGGACAGGCCTGCCGCCGCGCCACGGAAACCGAACCAGCCAGCACGCCATCTCCAGAAGCGCGGGAGCGCGGCGGCTCCGCGGGGCCGCCGGGCAGAGCCCGCGCTCGCAAAGCCAGGCCGTGGCCGGGTTTTTGGACCGCGTGGGCCCGCCCCCGCAACGCACAGCGCCGCACGCACAGCTGGCCCCCACACAGGGCCGCACCCAACAACGCGCCCCACCACAGCCCCTGCACACCAGCCCCCCGCACCCCACGCCCGCACCAGCCGCAGCACAGCCCGCCGCACCACAGCCGCGCCCCCGCAGCAAGCGCCCCACACGCCTCCGGCACGCACAGCCGCGCCCCGACCCACAGCCCGCCCCCGACGCACAGCCCGCGTGCCCGGGCGCGTTCTCGCACACCTCGCCCCCGCACACAGCCCGCCCGCACCCCAAGCGCCCCGCACCACAGCGCGCACCGCACCGACACCGCCCCGCACGCACAGCGGCCCGGCACCACAGCCGCGCCGTGACCACAGCCGCCCGCACGCACAGCCGACACACCGCCGCACCACAGCGGCCCGCCCCCACAGCCCCCCTGCAACGCACAGCGCAGGCGGGCCACCGGACCCGGACTTTGGGCGCGGGAGGGGGCCGCGGGCTCCGGAGGGACCGCCCCCGCAGACAACCCGCACAGCTGCACTTGCATCCGGGCGCGGGCAGAGGCTGGAGTCTGCGTCTCCCAGCGCCACAGAGAGGACGAACTCGAGCGAATCCCCGAGGACCGACCGCGAGGGAGGAAGCCAGGGAGCACTAGGGCCAGTCTCCCGACACGCGCGCGAGGGCGGACCGCAGACCAGACAGACGAGGCTCGGCGCGCCGAAGGAGTGCCCGCCGGTCTGAGGACGGGGACGGAGCCGGGCGCCGCACGGACCGGCCCAGGGCAGAGCCGGGAGCGTCTCACAGCAACGCAGCCCACGCTCACGGCCTCCACGGCACCCACGGCCTCCACGGCATCCCAGGCCCTCCCGCACCACGCCCTGCCGCGTCACCCACCCGGCCTCCACAGGCCTACAGGCCCACGGCCTCCACGCCCCCGGCCTCAGCGCCCACAGCCTCCCACGGCACCCACCGGCCACCCACGGCTCCACGGCCGCCAACGCCTCACGCCCCCACGGCCCCCACGCCTCCGGCACCCCAGGCCTCCACACCTCCACGGTGCCTTCCACACCTCCCACAGCACCCAAGCCTCACACCCCTCCACAGCCTCCCACCTGGACTGCAACTGTCGGCAGAAACGAGCTTGCACGGTATGGAAAGAGAAAGGCTCTGTGATCAAAAACAGAGAGGAAATAGAAAGCAAAGAAAAACAGGAAAAAAAATTAAAAAGAAGAAAGAAGAACACCAGCATACCAGGCCGGGCGCGTGTTCACAACTGTATCCCTGGCACTCAGGGAGTTCTGAGGCAGAAGGACTCCTCAGAGGTCAGGAAGTTAGAGACCAATGGGAGCAAGAGCGAGACCCCGTTCCTACCAAAAATAGAAAAATTAGCCGGGCATGCGCGCGCATGCTGTAGTCCAGCAACTTGGACGGCTGAGGAGGAGGGGGGGCCCCTGCTT